TTCAGCAGTTCCAAGTGCAACTAATGCAAGTAATTGTCCACATGATTGACTAGTAACTGGATTATTGATTGACACCCATTCATCTACGCTTATTATAGGATACTGGAAAGATAGTTATACAATTTCAATGTTTTTCTTACAATATCATTTTGAAAATGTGATAATTTGACATATAATACATAACAACACATACTTTAGATGATAATAAATGTGGTAATACAATTGGATCCCTATAAGCAATGTATAATTGATGCACAGGTAATTTTGCGATTCCCAACAAATTATTCATTCCTACAGAATTTTTATAATATACTTCTACAATTATATAATTATCTTTAATTCGTTCTAGTAATGCATTGCCATAAATTAAAGGTACTAACTGCAAAAAAAAACAGAATGTATAAATGATGTAATAAAGAAGAACTTTGAATATGGAAAGAATTTTGTATAAAATATATGTAAGAACATACTTGGCAAAAATGATAATATGGGTTTCGTGTGTTACTGCATAATTGACTTGTACCTTTGTCTTGCAACCAGAATGCTCTACATATTAAGAATGTATTTAATTCCAACAAATCTTTAGCTTCCGCTATATATATTAATCCATGAAGCAAAATCTGCAAATTTTAATATGTAATTATACATGGAACAACATTGAAAATAAAAAGTTTATGAAAATTTTTTACATTATTATGATTCTTATTATCCGGTTCTGTTATATCTACTTTTCTATCATCAATGTTTTGGTTTGTATGTTCTGATCCATCCTTTTTAGTAACCATATTATTGGTATTATCCATGTGTAAACATTCTATTCTTTTTGTTGAAGAAGATGAAACACTATTACTTGTTTTGGATTGTGTTCCCGTTGCAGTTTTACATCTATCAATATCCGTATTTAATAAAGATCTCACGTTTAATACAGGAATATTTTCCTTTCCAGACATTACAGCTTCTGTTTAAAAATGTTCAAATATAACAAAAATGTATATTTCAATATCATATTTATTTTTCTTCAAACTTACCAATGTATTGTTTTCCAAAGTGGACTGAATCACATCCTAATTCTGTAGTAACTTTTAACTCTCCTATTTTAATGCCTTTGTTAATTACAGCTAATCTCTGCGACAAACTCAAATTTTCTGTTTTTACAATGTCACTAATATACATCATACCAGAACCTAATTCAGTTGGTGATTTCTGATTAAGATGTCGTGACAAAATTTTAAAATATAATGGAAAATCTTGATGTATATTAAATTTAGGTATGTTATATATCCTTTCGTGATCAAAATGAATTACTATAAAAAAGATATGTTGAAATTATATTGACAATTAGTATAAACTATTGGTGAATGAATACTATAACAATATTATTACCTTGTCCTGATTTACGCTTAGAAGATATTCTTACTGATTTATCATCTCTCAATAATTTATGATTTGCTTGTGTAGGGGGCTTAAAAGTAGTATTATATTGTACAAAATATGTTACAGATAATAGTGTATTATCATTACCTATAAAATATTTAATGTATACTTTAATTTTAAATATAATTTTTGATAATATACAATATTGAATTCACTTACGTGATACACAGGATGATTTAACACGACGATAGCCTGCAGGATTTAATACAAATGAGTCAATAAAAATTCGTATACTATCTATATGATCCAATGGAGACATTTCTAAAAAATGATAATAAAATAATTATTTTTATATACAACTCACAATAATCTATTGATAGTACTTAACGAAATAATAAATTCAATGTATACCATTTTGTTTATCCTGACGTAAACACTTTGTCAATGATTCTACTATCATTGAATTAGATGTATTTAGAGATGTTTTATTATCAATAATTGGTGCATTATTAGACTGAGAAGAAGCAATAGCTTCTGACGCTAAGTCAATTAAACTAGGTGTCGGTGATGTTGATCTTAAAGTATTTAATGCTTTACGTTCGTCGGATACACTCATTTCTTTGCCTAAAAAATATTCATATAATTTTGCTTCTTTTTCAACAGGAACATCATTAAGAAAACTATTACTCAGACCAGTGTCACTTAATGCCAGAGGATCTTCATCGTAAGTTTCTTTTAATATAGCCCCTCTAAGTTTTTGTGCTCTAGCAACAACTTGGGCAACGAGTTTATCAGTCACTGCCGCATTACAACTGTGCAAAGGTTCTTGGAACTTGGCCCTTTTAGTTTTTAAAATAGATCTATAAATGTCTTTTGAATCTATTTCTATAGGTGCATTTGATCTATCTTCATTAGTATTACCAGATCTTTCGCTTAATAAAATATCATGAATTCTTAATTCTTTGCAATGTGAATTTGTATCAGGAGGAGAAAGCAAGATCTTGTTCTTAGTTTGTTTTTTTTGAAGTTTATGTACTTTTAAATGCATAGTTGTAGCTTTTGATGCATTTAAATTAAATTTTATTCCGACATGCACTTCTCCTATTTGACTTCTATTTTTATCTAATATTGGAAAATATTTAAAAAAAGGTTTCTGTTCAAAAATATCTAGTAATTCATTGACTTCAGATGTTCCTATGATTTGATTTACCTCTTCATCAATTACAACTAATTCTATAGTTTCACAATTTTTAATATATTCCTTAAATAGATTGCTATTCGTTCTGATACTATATATTTGAGCTGTATCTTGACTAGGCCTTATTGTATTTGTTCTAATGTCAATAGGTCTAAAAAAAAATAAAAGTTTAATGATACAGTGATTCGATGAGCTTGACATTTTGTTGAAAAATTTGTCATTGCAAAATAAGGAGCAATCATCTCTTATCCTATGTATTATAATAAATAATTTACCTGAATTTAGCATTATCCTGTTCACCCCACCAAGAAGCAAACACTGTGATATTTTCAGTATTATTTTTATACCAAAGAACTTCGTCTATAATCAGCCATAAGTAACCGTGAATTTTGCCTTCGACCATAGGTGGTAATGACCTACACGGTTTCACCTTCGAATCCATTTGATTTTTACTATATAATGCATAACTAACTCACTTGAGCCTGAGAAGTTTAGGTTAATTTAAACGATTTCATGAAATTGTACAAAACGTTGTGATGCAATGAAACGGTTAAAAAATATTAATTAAATCTCAGCTGTGTGTTAAACTTTATTATTCAGTTATAACTGCTTCACATTTTCTCGGATCACTAATTCTTTATAAATTTTTATGCAATATTCAATCGTCGTGGTAGATGCATTTAAATGCGAAATTAGTTGACACAATGCATATTTTATAGGAATACGAAGGAATATCAGTACTATTCTAGCATTATAAATATCGCATAAATTCAGAAAGAAAATAGTGAATTACTGAAAAGTATAATGGCGATATTTAGGCGAGTTTCGTTCGTCTCCACATTATTTTTTGCGAATTACTCTAACGAATTCTTTTGAATCAATCGGTATAATAGAATTACACTCTCCATGCACTTTCTTTCTACAGAGAACTGTTTTATCAACGAACACTCAATGGTTTTTTTATTACCAACAGCTATTCGTAAAACTTTGAAATTGGTGGATAATTTCAAATTGAAATCGATCAATTCAGTGATATATTTATATTAAAATACATGATCTAAAGCAATCCATCTAACGAGTAATATTAATTCTCAGAGAAAATGAAGTGGGAAAATATTAATAATAATAATATATTGTTTGAATAATTATAAATAGTGAAATCATATGTAATAATCAATTTATGTTCGGTCAGAAAATTGATGATTAATCATTTCCTATACTTAGAAAATTTGGTAATTAATAAATGCTTTCAATAGCAAGTATTCGGATATCAATTTTATCTACATGGGATATACATATGTACACAATCTATATGTATCTTTGGCGTTTTCTCTTCTTTATAGTCGATGATAATATTAGCTCTCGTTCATGTATTATTAACTGTAGTAATTGCTAAGGGTAAAAGTCAAAAGCTCATAGATCGTTATATATCGTAGGATTATTATATAGGATTAGCTCGCGGTAAATAAGTTAATGACAAATTTATATCTATTCGAAGCGACGAACGAACATACATACGTACGCGCATAATTAGCTTGCTTGCTTATGCAGCATCATTTTATTTATCTACACATTTATCTCGAATATGTCATTTAAAGCTATTTAACATGACACGTCTCGTTAGGTTCGACAAATTTTAACGTACCGAGAGAAATTTGATATTGTATAAGTATAGTCTTACGAATTATCCAAAAAAGATCAGCGAATAATTTTAACGCGATACTTTTAGTATATTACAAATCGTAATTTTATCCAATTATCTATTATTTACTATATTTGCCGTTCCACTGGGTTAATTATAAATATGTACTTTACAATGAATTATTTTACAAGTAACATGTACGCAAGTCATGTTTATTAAAGTTAAATCTCATTTTTGTTTCTTTTTTCTTTTGTACGATCTTTCTTTTACATTTTGATGCATCATAATACTTTTTAAACTTTAAAAAAATATCATATTATACGTACGTATATGCGTTAATAAATTATCGAGTAAGTTATCGAGATCAAAGTATAATCGATCTGTGTACTGTTATTAAGTTCTCCAATTACAAACAATTTCGATTCGATCTGATTGCCGACAAAGATATAAGTTGAAAGTGGAAATTTCGATAAAAATTCAACGCATTCTAATTTCATTTATTTATTTATTTATTTATTTATTTTTTCGTTTTTTTTTTTCCACTTTTGTTTCCTCTCCATCTCGAACTGTATCCATATCGGTTGCACTTGCTCGCGTTTATTGACGCACATACGCAGTTCTGTTATGCATACGCAATACATACATGCTATATATGTATGATCTGCCGGAATCGGCTTTGTGAACGAACACTGAAATATATCGTTGTAGCTTTTGTAGCTTTGATTCCGGTCATTGATGAGAAAGAGGGTCAGTGGAACACGTTTGTTGTATTTTCAGGTTCTTGTAAAAAAAAAAAAAGAAGTCTATTATATTCCTATTTTTTATCATTCGAATTAATTTATAGATTAATGTTCCTTAGAAACATTGCTTTGATCAATTGTCTCTCATGATGATCCTTCCGTGATTTTAAAAAGATTTGAAAGATTCAACGAGGACAACAATTAATCATAATTATTAATCGATCTGATTGAATTACTCAGTTAGAAATTGTAATTAACGATTGAATTTATTCAATTGCTGTTAATGACTTTAGATGCCTATTCAGGCTTGGCAATTTGTTGAAAGGTGGGAATAAATATCCTACTCATTTAACCTTGCCCCCAAAGCTAAAGCTATTCAACGTTTCAATGTAATAGTGCTTTGGGAACTGTTCGCGAGTAGTAGTTATAACTCGTTATAACTTGTCCATCATTGAAAATGTATATACTTTGCGAGCATGTAACGTGGTTCGTTCATGTTCGAGGAAAATTTAATGTGAGCGACGTGTCCGTTGAAAAGTTGTGTGCCTCGCATGATCTCCTTTAACTTTGTAATCAGTAACGTATTACTTTCTGTGACATTGATGTACGAAACTCTATCAAAACACAAATATTCGATATGTTTTTTATCTTGCCTAATTGTTTACCCCTGGTTTTTTCTTTTTTCTTTCATTTCATTTCTTTCAGTACAAACCTCTCAAATGCTCTTTTGATATAACTTTGTTCTTTTAATCGTACATCGAATAAAACGAAGTAGAAAATGTACGGGGTAGAGAGATAGTGTGTACATAAGTAACGTACATATGTATATATATATATATATATATATGTTTGTATGTTCAATCTACATAAAACTGTGTTGTCTTTTACGCATCGACATTAGTCATTATTCTGGCTAATTGGAACGAAAGCATCGGTTTTCAGTTCAGGAGACATTTACCACGTTTCGGTTGCCATTTCAACGATAGAACAGATCTCTCTACGTGATTAATATTTCCACGATTCCTCTGCATTATTGGATGATTTTTAAATCGAATCGTCCATATCAAAATGCGTATAAATTTTTACTAGTCGTTATCTAATTTAATGAAATCATCGAGATATAACGATATTCATTCTCGAAAATTTGAATTTTAACGAGATGTCACCTTTTTGCGTAACCTAGAAATATTTGAATGAAAATAATTAGTATATACATAAATATATATTCATATATATTAAATGTAGCATTGCTTCTTCGTTCTATGATTTTACAGTAAACAAACAAAGTTTTTTATTCGATCCTAAAAAAAAAAGAAGATCGCAAACTTTAGTAATTCTTGTTGCTGTTAACTTTCTACGTCAGAGAGATCAGATTGCCCCTGAGGATTTTATCGTATCCACAGTTGATCCCAAAGGAAAGTAAGAATGTAAAATTCGTATCCATTGATGCATAAGCTAACGTAGTATGCATGTGGAAGCTCGCGCACGCGAGAGGACCACAGCGTCCTGAAATTCTGTCGATTTCACTGTTCGCGTATCCGCGTGCTCGATCCATGCCGAGCATGCTTCCGGCTCGGATGTAAAATCGTGTAAATATAAATAATTCCACCACAGGACGGATACCGAATGGGTGGGTTTCTCGTTCGTCGTACACCAGTGAAATTCATCGTTCCATCGCACGCGTAGTTGAAAATATTTTCCTCGTAGCGTGTTAACTCGATTCGTTCTATCTACGTTTCCTATAAAGCGAGTTGAAAGATAAAGTGAATGAAAGAGAAAGAGAGAAAGAGAGGGAAGCGAGAGAAAGAGAGAGTCAATTTGTCACATTTTTGCATTCAAATTTTTGTATCAAATATATCTTTGATTTTTCATTTCCATCGAACAGAATATTCGGCAAAATCTATATTATTACGAATAATTAATCAATAAGGGAATACCTTATGTTAATTACTTTCCAACGGAGATTTGGATTTTTATTTAAAAAAAATAAAATAAAAAAAGAAAAAAAGAAAAAAGAACTTACTTACTTGTTTGCAAGCTAATTCGAGAATAAACAGTCATCGTACTTGTTACGGCCAGCCAGAACTTTTTCTCCCATATGACTTGTAACTTTTATGAAAGGGATTTAAAGTTTCCCGCGTTCGCGTAATGGCCGTACAAACGAGAAATACGAAAGTATGGCAGTAAAGTGGCCGGTAACCGGTAAATACGCGACGGACTCTGTACTACTGTTTACTTCTCAATGTTTGGAAACTCTCTTTTAGTATGTAATTTCTTTTTTTTTTTCTCTCTTTCTTCTCTTTTTCTTCTTCTTCTTCTTCTTTCTCTTCTTTTTCCTTTTTTCAACTGCACAAAGTAAGAGGATTTTCCAATTAAATTACGTTTACATATACGATGAAATATGGAGAAGCGTTTCGATCATTTTTTTTTCTTTTTCCCGAGAGAGAGAGAGAAAGAGTAGATATTCTTTAAATAAATATACGATACACGTACGATTGGTCAGTTCAAAGAAACTATGTAGAAGTAAGGAAGAAGGTACGTTATCATTGTCGACCAGAACACTTTTAAAACTAGCTTCGTTTTTATTGTATATCTTGACCGAACGAAAAGCTCGACCAGAAGGGTAGAGGAGAAGGGGGAGAGAAAGCGAAAGAGAGAGAGAAAGACTCTAGTGGAAACGGAAAATCTCCTTGAAAGGATTTGCAAGAAGAAGGTCCTACTACTAGCAGGACCAAGGACCTACTGGAATCGATCGAGAAGAACGGAGAATGGAATAAGAAAGTCGAGTTAATAGATTGCGAGATGCAAAGCGTACTTACTTACGTCCTATCTTATTTCGGTGAAATAGTTAAGCAAATATCTCGCTATTTTCTCCTGTTTCATGAAATTCATTGTTATTCGAGCTGCATTATTTAAACGTTTCAAAAGGCTTCCATCGAATTTTCCTTTCTATTAGATCGTCGTAATAACATTAACACAGATTCCTACTCTTTTGCAATGTATTATTTACCTCTAAAGAATCCTTTATTTTCTAATGAACGTGCATATATTTTCTTGTGAGATATATGCATGTCAGAACAGATTGTTTCCTATTTTAAACGACTCTAATTTCGATCGTTATTGCTCCTAAGGAAAAGTAAGGAAAATAAGTGAGGTTAGGTTCGTTTGTAGAAGATAGGAAAAGCTAAGAGAGAGAGAGAGAGAGAGAGAAAAAGAAAAAGAATGATCGTTATTCACCACGTGAGCGGCTTACTCGATGATAACTCCCCTTTTTAAACACAGCCGGTACTTAATAATTCTGTGCTTGTTAACGGATACGAGCTCGCACACCCAAACCCGCCCAACCCAGTCCAACGCCACTTTGTAATCTTAAATTCTTGCGGGTATTTTATTAACGCGAGTTGTTGCTACGACAGGGAGCAAAATGGCAAGCGCACGTGACTTCGGACGAGCTCTCTCTCTTTCTCTCTCTCTTTCTCTCTCTCTCTCTTTCTCTTTGTTTCGCTCTCTCTTTACTCTCTCTATCTTTCTCTCGCTTCCTCTTCTCTCTCTTTCTCTCTCTTTGCTTTACTATTCAAGTCGTTGTCACGTTATCCAAACTACCTACAAAATTTGTCGAATGCATAGAAGCCTTCTCTCTCTCACTCTCTCTTTCTCTCTTTCTTTCTATAAGAAACACTTGCATGAAATATTATCTATAAACGATATAAATTCGATAACGATACCATTTACTATAAGAATGTAATGATTTTAATTTGATCCTTTATCTATCGACGTTCCTAAGATTGGAATTTGCCATGGATTTAAATTCACTTTCTTTCCGATGATTTATATATTTCCTTATTATATGCACACAATTTTTTTTTCTTCGAATAATAAATTCCGATAAATTATCTTTATTTTAGGCGCCATAATCAAAAGGTGAAATTTTATACGCACAGGATGAGAATCTCTTTTTTACCAAAGTCAATCTTGCCAACTTGTGAGAGAATTTGTGTCGTCCTTTTTTTTAATTACAAGTAATTAGCATATTCTTTTTTTACGGAGTATACCCTTTTCCAGTATATCAATCGATTTCCAAGAAATGTATTTTTTAAGATACATTATTCGTTAATTATGACTACGGTACAAAAAAAGGAATATTAACGAAAATAAAAGTGGCGATCGTATATTGTTTTTTTTCTTTTTTTTTTCGTAATTTTTGGCATTATTTCTCTATAAATTTACCTTTTCCTTCCTAATTATTTTATTGTACAATATTTGTGATATATTCCGATGATTTCTACACTCAGATATCGTATTTATAAAAATTTTATACTTTCGATTATTAGATCGAGATATTACGTTTATTACAGACGACGTTAATTAAGATGGCGTAAAGTATGTGCAGGATGAGAATCTTTTTACCACCGAAGTCAATGTTACTAACTCGTGACAGAATCTGCATCGTTCATCTTTTAATTACAGGTAATTAGAATTTATATTTTAAAGTATTTTTTCTTTCGATATATCAATCGATTCTTAAAAGTGTGTTTTCTATGGTGTATTATTCGTAAATCGTGACAACGGGACTGAAAAAGAAATATTAATGAAAATAAAAATGGTGAACGTATATACCGTCTTTTCTTTCTTTCGTACTTTTTGGAATTATTTTTCCATATATCTTACTTTTTTCTTCTGATTATTTGATTCTAGTATATTTGTGATGTATTCCGACGATTCGCATAATTTTATATCGTATTTATAAAAATTTTATATTATCGATTATTAGATCGAAACATATCGTATTAATTGACTAGCAACGTATTTGCGCATGCGCGACGCGAATTGTTTAATCGTCTTGCCGGTGAATATGACGCCATTTTGTGTTCGGTGATCACTAGTTAGACAGGGAAGCCGTATCGTCCTCATTAATTTCAGGTAATTAATATATTTTTCTAATGTACACCGTCTTCCTATATATCAATCGATTGCGGAAAACGCGATTTTCACGGGTGAATGTTCGTAAATTAGGGTATCGTCACGTTTAAAAGATATTCGCGAAAATAAAATCTGCGTTTTGGCGTCCTTTTGGAAGTTGTTGCGTCATACCTTTTTCTCGAATTTTCTGCTTTTATTTCTACGATGTCGACGTTTCCAATCGCACTTTAACGATACTTTTGATAATAATTTATCATTTATTAATGGTCATTAATCGTATTTCGTATTGTATTCGATTTTCTCCACACACCTACATACGCACCATATCATCATATATATATATATATACACACATATAAGCTTTAGATACTTTATACCCATTATGTATATATATACATATATATACATGTATATACATATATATACATATATATACATACGTATATACGTAGATCATGTGTACATATATATATATATACATCATACATACGCACTATATATAAGTTTGCATATCCCTCTATATTCATTACGTATATACACTCACACAATGATTTTTATTCTCTACCCATCTTACATTTTCCAGGTTTCTAAGAATTTGACGAAATGAAAGACCCAGCATGAAATATTCCAGTTTTTTCTACGCATACTCTCTTCGTCCTGCATATAGGTAAGTCTGTCTCTTTTTAAAGGCAAAGCGAATATTAATAGAGAGTTAGAGAGAGTGAGAGAGAAAGAGAGCGAGTGAGCAAGAGAGCGTGTGTGTGTAAGAGAGAGAGAGAGTAGCATTTGACATATATACAATCATAGGACTATGGATTTCTAAGAAATCCCTCGGCCGAGCTCGCCACGAAAACAGTCGAGCGTTCAAGGGGACATTGACAAAGTTATTGTCCTTGTCAGTTTTATAGAATCTTTCGGCATATACGTATATACGTACGTAACTAGGAAAGCGTTGATTAATTTTCTTTCTAGCATTGTATTTTATTATAGAATATTTTAATATAAAATATTTTAATAATTTTATATTTATATATTTAATATTATAGGAAGTTTATTATTACACTGAAAAGTATAGCAATTTATATAATTTATACTGATACAGTTCGCCGCATACTTCAATATCTTTCGAAAAGTTTTATGTATGTCACTTTAAATAATTTTATTTCAGACGTTAATTACTTATCATTAATACTTTTGAGTAATATATCATTTACCTTGCGATTAATGGCTGGTATATTCAATTTTTTTTTTTTTTTTTTTTTTTTTTTTTTTTTTTTTTTTTTTTTTTTTTTTTTTTTTTTTTTTTTTTTTTTTTTTTTTTTTAGGAAATCTTGAAATCAATTTTTTTATTCATTCGATCGATCACAAAATAACATTTGACATAACTTCTATGTATAAAAATGTTTCAAACTGTTGTGTTTCATAGATGGATGAAAAACAACAGATAAATCTCTTTCGAAAGGGACAACTAAATATATGTGTGCGTTAGTTGTGCAGGAGGCTGGTGAGGATGGGGATTACAAAGCGTTGTTCATTAAATATAGCCACGAAACAATAGTCGTCCATCGTGTCATCGTCGTTTCATCGACAAGAGGAAATTTGTGTGTCGTCTCTATGGCTCATATATTTCTCGGACGTATTACCGGTAGCTACCGTACGACAGAACGCATGTGTTATTCAATGATCACCTAAGCAATTAAGCTGAAGTAGGAACATTTCCGAGGGATGAGAAGTAGATTTATTCGGAGATAATACTCCTCTATTATTAAATAGAGAAGAACAATTAGTTACATTTTCAAAAGACTTTGCCGAAAATTAAAAATTTCCTATTGTAATATTAATTGAATTAAATTAACTATAAGTTTTACATTAATGCACGCGTTCAATGTTGCATAAGGTTCGATCTTATAAGACGTAAATTAGAATGAAAATCGGTCTTGTTTCAATAATCTGTTTAGATTCATGCGTTCTCATTAAAAAAGTAAAAGAGAATAAATTTGTCGTGAGTGTTGAGTAGTGGTGGTAAAAGTGGGGCGGGGAGGAGGGTGGGAGGAGGTTAGGTAGGTGGCTGAGAGATAGATAGTCATATACATTACGGCTAATGGCCTCTGAACCGCGTCTTTGAAGTGGACCTCGGGCTCTCCCTTTCGTCGTGTGGTACCGAAATCAAAAGCCACCGGCCACGCGAGCCAACTCATAACCACTTAGGGCTCGGCGCTCTTTCGCAAAAGGGCGCCGCCTGATTTCCCTTCTCCCTTCTCTTCTCTTCCTTCTCTGTCTCTTTCTCTCTCTCTCTCTCTTTCTCTCTCTGCGATGTATTTCCTGCGATGTAGCCGTCGTACTCTCAACTTTCGCAGAACACGTGCGGTCGAGGTATGCAAACCCGCTTTTCGAGTCTCTCTTTTGCTCATCGTCGTCGGTAGTCAAACTCGAAACGTAACTCAGCGGCATTAGCAAGTCTCCTCGCGCATTAACGTCTCCCGTAAATTTGAATTTTCGCGCGCAAACTTAGCTCGTGAACGATTTCAGTGTATTTTTTTTTTCGACGATACGAAAGATTTTTCTTTTTATACGATCGTTTCTAATTGCTTCTAATTATGTTCCCATATTAAAATGTATGATTTACTTAGAAGGTAGAAGTATACGTTCCCTAGTGCGTTGGTAAATGCCTTTCGCTGAAGTCCAATAAGATGGGGAAAGGGTGATTTGTGAGCGGAAAAAGTGGTGCGTTGCTTTTTTATCAGAGAGTCCAAAATAAAAATGAACTACGTGTTGTGGAAAGGAAAATAGAAGAACGTGGAATGAGAATTGAGACTTTATTTAACTTTTATTATCCCATTAAAATGTTTTTTTCGATTCTCATGAAAAAAGCTCTGAGACGTCGTTTTTTGTACTTTGTACAGGATTCTTTCGATAAAAGAAAAGCAGGAGAGAGAAAGAGGGGGGGGGGGAAGAGAGTGGGAGGAGGAGATAGAGATAAAGAAAAAAAAATTAAATTTATTCCTATTGAGATAGGACTTTTCGATTCAGCTGGTCTTTCAATAAACGGACTCAACGTTCAACGGAAAGCACAACCATCGAGCTTTCCTTGCAATTCGCCGACAAGATTTTTACGGGTTACCAGGAGAGAACTCGTCACGATTCCATGGAGAAGAAGAAATGTACGGACGATTCCAACGGTGCTCCCACTCGGACCGGTAATGGTACCGGAAACTACACTTACCTCGCTGTTCCGGCGCTTTGAGCTTTTCTACGTCTCGAGAGAAGTTCTTATACTTTGGTAACGGCCATTTGCCCTTCACCGTATCCGAAATCCATGAATCCATGAGTACAACTCTATACCGATGAGTACCGTAACTCTCTCTCGGTTTCCAGAGTACACGGAAATTAGAAGAGCGAATCGTTCGGAAACGTTTTATCTTCTTCTCTTATTACTTTCTTTTTTTTTTTTTTTTTTTTTTTTTTTCTCTTTATTTCGACGATAATCGATGCGAGTTTTAAGCGAGTAACGATTTATTTTCTTTCTTGTGTGC